CCAAGAACTCATGTATATACTTATGGAACGCACTTTTTCTCCTTCTCTCCTATGGCTATCAGATTACTTTGACCAGCTATGTATGTTGTTAGCTGTACTGAAACAACTTGGCACCTGCTTACTGTTGTCTCTGTTACTCAGGTAGTACAATGTTTCTAAAGGATTTATTTATCTTTCAAAATAATTCTTCTGCATTATGTCTTGAACATTAGTTCTCAATAAAGGAGAAAATGCTCTGGGCATTTTTCAGTTCCAAACACACTCAACTGTTGCTATAGTCTTGTTCAAATAATCCCCTGCTATAAGCAATATTTGAAAGAAGAAATGTGCTACCTCTCACCTTCAGAAGATGCTAGTCAGATGTGTAAGCTGGAAGGCCAAAACCTCAGTTGTAATATGTTTAATGAAACTAAATTCATTTACTCCACCTGAACCTGATTCAGCCTTCCGTATTTCATTAAATATTATTCAGAGAAGTGAATGACTAATCTGGGGTTAACTGTATCTTTTAAATATTCCTATTGACAACAAATAATCTTCCTATTTTTCCAACAATAGATCAACAGAAACTTCCATCTTATTTTTCATTTTTTATTAACAGATATTGGTCAATTATGATCACCATCCAAAGCACTAATGAATTTTCAGTTTCTGTGTATCTTTTGTCATGGATTTTTTACCTCACAGTCTTGCTCAGTCACTGGTTCCTTATAGGAAGATACTTTAAACCAATTAACATCCTGGAATGAAAACTGAAATTCATGTAGTCCTTATCTAAGCTTTAACATTATCCATACTGCTCCCATACTTTAGTGAACACTACCAACTGCCCCATTATTTTAACCTCTACTACTCCAATACAGAGGAGGATCTTACCATTGAAAACAAATTGTCAAAATGCTATGAATACATTATTTGAAGAATGCATCTAGGGTTCCCACACTCATCAAATAAAATCTTGGCCCCAGTGAAGACAGTGCTAGTTTAGCTTCAGCAGATGCAGGCCTTTATTCATCACGCATGACAAAAATAACCTTTAAAGACAGAGGGCTTTGTTCACGTACCTAGCACATTTTGATTTCTAAGATTTTCTTGACTTCTGCTAGGGGCTTTGCACTTACATTAGTTACAGCAAAATCACCCTTTTTTCTGCAAGTGGCAGGGTCAAAGCTTTCTAGATACAGAGATACACAAACAACATCCAGATTTTAAGGTTTTTATTGTAGTAGTTGTCTTTTGGTACCCGACTGCAATAATTTTAACTGGGGGTTTCAGACTTTGGACTCCCTTTATTGAGCAGAACGAAGATCTGCAATGGTGATCAAAGGGCCTTATGAGGAAATAAGCTGTCATTTCGACAGAAGTATATTAAAGCTGACAACGGCAAAGCCGATCTTCCCTAAGACAAGCTGAGTTCAGGTTACTTCACATTCATTATTATTTTTTCCCCAGAAAGCTGGGATGAGGGTTACTACGTACTTCTGGATGGGATGTCAACATTTGCAGAATGTTTTCAGAAGGTCAGCGTACTAGATCCCGCAGGTATAAATGTCAGACTTCAGTGGAGACGTATACCGTTTCCTACATCAAAAGCCTGGCATCTGACAGCTGACCAGAAATAATCCATAGGGGATCTTCTCCTTGTTATTAAGGACAGAGGCACACCTCTTGGCAATGATTTGTTTCTTTTCAGAATGGAAATGATGCAGGGGAATTCTTTACCTCTGACCTATGTTAGATTTTGCTTGTTATCACCCTCACAGCAACACTGGCTTGCTGCTGAAGTATATTCTTTTCTCAAAGAAAAGAAATGGCTTTTTAATACAAGATAAATACAAGATCAATGGGGTGGAGAGAAACTTGCTCCTCCTCTTGCTTCCTTTTTTTGTTGTTACAGCAAGATTCACCTATATATATGTCCGCCAAAAAGATCTGACCAAAACCAGTTTTCAGGGAGTACTGACACATGCCATATCATCTTAGTTCAGGGCAAACATTCAAATATGGGGTTCAGTTGAAATATATGAAAGCTTTAAGTACCTGAAGTCTAAACATAAGGAAAAAAGGAAAGAGAAATGGAAAAGAAAAAGAACATATTAACTTGTTCTAAGCTCTTGATCAACTAGCATTTCATAGCTTAAAATAGTTCTGGTATTTCTCACCAAAACTTTTAAGAGAATGTTTGAGTACTCCTTATTAAAATAAAACCCCTTCATTTTTCATGCCTGAAAGGAGGGAATTATACCTCTGTGCAGATTTCATTATACAGCCTATGAACAGAAGAGTAAGGGACACAACAATGGAAAATAACAAGTGTATGTGTTCACTTGATACATGCCCAAACTTGTCCTGAAGAAATGAGAAGATACTGGGTTGCTTTGCTACATGATCTAGAATATCTACTGGTTTAAGGTTCAAATAACTCCGCTTTGCAGAATTTAAGTTTGATTGTAAAGCCATGCAAATTATATAATGAACAAATAACTTCAACTGTAAGTAAAGGCAAGTTTTAGGATTGAACAAAGTATACTTCACCATGCTAGCAAAGTCCAAAAACCTATGTAGGCACAGGTGTTCAATGTGAACCTTTAAGTTAAAGGGTTAAAAAATAATAGTTTTAAATTCAGTACTTAAAAGCCACTCCATGATTTGATCTTTTCTCACTCTCTTGTCTATGGGCTACCCTTAAATTCCAGTTTTTAAAAATCAGGTTTCTTCTTTTAAGTATGTAAGAAAGCCCCCCTGGCTTTCTGTGTACCAGCAGAGGACATACATGATTAGAGCACAGACATTGTTCAGTCCTATTCATCAGAACAGTTCTGTGCTGTAGAAGAACCTAGATGCTGCAAACTGTGAAGTCTGATAAACCACCCATATCCTCAGATAACCCACTGCTGCTGTGGCTGCAGCACTATCCTACTCCTCCTTATGTGTTTGCTGCTCTGATGAGTTGCTGTGCTCCTGATGAAGGCTAACTGCCCTGGGAGTTGGGCTAAAGGAGACTGAGAAGCTACTGGGGCAAAGGAATTAGGTTATGGAGGTCCAAGGCTGCGAAAGGCCCTAGGATAAACTTAGATTTCTACTATCTGAATATGTGTATAGCCTATACTGTAGATAATAAAAGCTAGGTTCACTAGGTTTTAAAAGAAGGAATTGTTTTGTCTCTGTCACAAATAACCATGTGAGAACGAAAGCATATTTCAAGTATGAGAGGCAATTATTCTCCTTAACATGTATTTTCATTACAGTTTAACTCAGAAAAAAAAAAATGTTACTGAAACAAGCATTATCCCAAACCAACTGCAGTCTTTTTACTTCCTTATACAGCCTAGTTCTTGTGAGGTGCAATGCATTCCTAGTCCTATGTGACTAGGAATATGTTTATGTGACTCCAGTTTAATTTTCACATTCATGACAAATGTACCATAGCATTTGTACCATGTGACATATAGATGTCACAGCACATATCCCCAAATGCTATGGTAGAATTTATGTCAATAAGCACATGGTCTAACAAAAACATGTCAGTGGGGTTCTTTGCTTTGTGAGGAATGCATGAACTGATCAGTTTGTAGTAAATACCCACAAACAGCACAAAGACTCAGTACTTTACCAGTAAAAATTCTTTTCTCTTCAGACAACTGAGGGCAGGTGAAATATTTTCAAAACCTGAGGCTACGAGATATACATATGCCATCTTGATTAAACATATGGAATGCATACGCAAAGAAAAGCCAACTGGAGTCCTAGTTGAGTAATCAAAACACCCAAGCTGAGAGGGGTTAACATGCAAGGATCAGCTCTGAACTTTGAAGTTTTCTGGTCTTCATTTTTCCTAATTAAGACAAGATTTAATAACCAAACCACTGTACAAACTATGTACTTAAACTCTAGGTTTGTTTCTCATTTTGTTGGGAATTCTTAGTAGATTCCAAAGAATCAGTACCCCCTGGGAAGTTCACCCAAGTAAGGTGGATTGTTTTTTTTTTTCTTTTCTCTTAGGTACAAGGGCTGACTGCCTGCTTTTCATCTTTTCTTCTTTGCCATTGCCTCATATATAGTTATTAAGTAACCCTCAGACAAAAGAAGTCAACTAAAGATGCATGATTAATATCTTTGAATTACTAGAGGAGCTCCAGCAAACAACTTTTGGAAAGTTGTATGTAGTAAGTGCAGAGAAACGTTCTCCAGATAAAAGCATTTAATTATTGCATATCTTCATTTTAAAGCAGGGAGCAGCATCACATTTGTTGTAGAAGCATTAGCTCCTGATAAATCTATTTAGATTCTGTTTCTCTTTGTTTATTAATGGATGGTCCCTTTTTTCCTTTCCTCCCCCTCAGAATAAGGTTGGGAAAGAGGGGCACAATTCAACTCTGTATCTAATGTTAGCAATAACACATTCTTCTGTTTCTCCTTATACGGTAATTTTATATCGCCATATAGATAACAAACTTTCATGTTACTGATTAACTTACAGAGAAAAAAATTGTTTGATAAAAGTGGATTAAAAATTTCTCCAGATGCTTAATAAGTTTCTTACACAAAAAAGATAAAATTTAATCAGCTGACTGAGTTCAAATGAGTTGTATATTTACTCCACATACTAGTCCACAGTGAGAAAGCTTAAAATACAATTCAAAGGCAGCTGAATGGAATGATTGCTGAAGCTCATAAGTGCACATTAAAAAGTTGGATAGAAATCTAGTAATCTTTAAGGCATAATTTACTCTTCAACAGGAAACCACCTATAATTTAAACCTGTAAGATGCTTTGAACCCTATTTTGTTGAATTATATTCTTACTGATGTCAAGAACCACAAATTACCTTTGTAGCGTATTTCAGAAGCTGAAAATGAAGGTCTATACAAATGTATACACCAACTATGCATGAACAAGATACTCATGCAAGAACCTGTCTACTGTCCATGACTACATGGCACCAATACCTAAGCTTCCTTATTAGTTCTCAACCTTTACGTTTATTGGAAATTCCTTACTTTGGGAACTCACCTTATTCATGTGGATCTGCTGCTGGTATTGTTTCTGCTTCTCCAAAAATTGTTGATGTTGCTGCTGGATGACCAGCTGGGCCAAAGTACTCTGAGGAAGAGGAGCCGACTGGGTGCGATTCAGCGGCCTGTGACGAGGCAGTTTGTGGGCAGCTCTTATGCCAGGTGAGACTCTCTCCTTGGCTGCCAAAGGAGACTGTGGATGAAGAGGAACCGCTCCTGCAAAACAGGGACATTTCACTCCCGTGTGAAGAACAACAAACTAATAGTTCTAATAGGAGAGAGAGCTTTCAGTGAGAAGAGGGGTGTATATTGCAGAACTTTGCATCAGCGCTGATGCAGTGGGACGTGTACCACGTGCCTCGCCACACTGGGAAGTTCAGCAGCTGCAAAAGAATGTGATGAAGTAATCATTTTCTCTTTTCTGTAATCACTGAATTCTTTCAGGCTAACAGACTGGAGCAGAATCACTAAAGGGGGAAAACAAAGATCCTGTCCTTTTTTCTCCCACCCTTCCACTTTTCCCAGAGGTTAGGATGTACAGTATCTGTATAACCACATTTAGTTTGATGTGAATACAAATGTCATTAAAAACATCTTAAATTATTATTGTGTTGAAGCCTTGATCATTACCAGTCACAAGAAGTTTTTGCTGTCTCATTTGTTCTTTCAGTAACAGATGTTGCAAGAGAGCTTGGTGGCTGCTATTTGGCTTTCCCTCCAAAGCAACGTGAGGATGAGTTGAGGATGGAGGAATGTTCCCCCCATACTGTCCAGCCAAGGCCACTCCTTGTCTGAGCGGCTGGGTCTCCCCCTTCTGCTTTTCTTTGAATGATGATGAAGCCTGTCAAAGAACAAAGGCACTGGTGACTGCTTTTCATAGACCTGGCCATTTATACCTTCGCTCGATTAGATGGTCTTATGTCATACTTTATGAATACATACAGAAGAAAAGGTTAACACCCCTATCTTACACTTTGACTGTGAGATGAAAAGGGAGGAAGAACATGCCAGTTAAATGTAACACTGTGAGAAACTGAGTAATGAAACCACTTGAAAAAAATCAGTTATAAAAGCCAAAGCATAAGGAACTACTAGTTAGAACATTATTAATGAAAAGACAGGACCTATCCTTAAAATTCCTAAAGACCTTCCCACAGCCTCCTGCACAGGGAAACGGGGGATCAGAGGAAATAGTTTCCACTGAGTTTGGAATAGGCAAGGCTTGGTTTTTCACATAACTTTCCATCAGACAGCAAGCCAATCAGCAAAACAGAATAATTACCTGTAGTAGTGGGAAGCTATTACTTTTCCTGGAGCACTCCCTGACTCCCTGAAGGATAGCACAAATGTAAGTTTTACCCTTTGCAAAGTGAATTTGTATAGTTAAACTCGCATCTACAGAATCATCAAGAGCTGTTGTATGTTTCTGGCATTTTAAAGTGCCCTTATAAATTGCACAGTTATTGATTTAAAGCTTTTGGATGTTTTGGCCCTTCAGCATTGCAAATATACTTTATATTTCTTCATTCTTTTTCTGGTTTAAAAAAAAATTATTTCTTAAAAAAGCAGTTAAAGCAGAATAATTTTTACAGCAAGAAAAATAATGTAACAGAAATAAGCATGTTGAGGCTTGCAGATAACCACTTACGGTATGTCATGGTAAAAGCAGTATCTCTCATAATCTAAATTCCATAAATTCTAATGAGGCAAACCAAGGTTTTCACTAATATTTTTTGGGTGTATGCTTACTTCACACTCTGCTATCACCCTTCCTTGAAAAACAAACACCAAAATAAACTTTACATTCAATTTGCAACTGCTTATTCTGGCAACAGAAATAAACATTACTTGCATAAATCAACCTCTTTGTTTTTTTCTAATGCCAAAAGTAATATTTGGTGCTAGCTGGCCACATCAAAAGCTCCTATGATTTCAGTGAGAAAATTAAACATACTTTCATTTCCATCTTAATGTTATAAAATTACTTTGAAGCTAGTTATATTTTTTTGAGAAATAGCTAGGAAATTTTTGATGCTATCTGGAAAAGCAAGCACCACTTTTAATGATCAGTTCAATTTTTCCATCCCTTTAAAACAATAATTTGCTTATAAATATCTCATGAAAGGCTTCTAGAGAACTGTTTTAAAGCTTACACAATTTTCTTTGCAAAGTTCTATATCTGATGTTAAAATGTTGGATGCAGCACCATATTATTGGTGAGAACAGCAAATGTACTGAAAAAGCCATAAAATAACATGAAACTTTAACTTGAAACTACATTTAGCACTGGAATTAAGTAGCACTTATTACAAACCATAGTGGATTGTATAGATTTTTTTTTTTTTTTTTTACACCGTGGAAAGCTGTACTTACACCCCTACTATTTTTATAAAAGATATCAATTTGCACTCTAAGAAATGTAAATTGCTAAAATTTCTTCAGAATTTATACACTGTTCTATAGAACCACTATATAACTTGTATCAGTATTTTTACATTTTTTGCTGGAAATCAGAAAAGGTAAGTTTTGACCAGTGGCAAAATTTTCAGATATTTTACTGAGCCTCAGATTTCACTTCTAGGTTGCTGTAACTTGGTCTAGATCTAAAGATCCTTATCCATCAGCCTGGATTTCCATACATACAATGTCCATGTTTTCATATATTTCACATATTAGTTTAACACTTAGCTCTCAATAAAGGTGATTGCTGCAGACTGAACAATGGGCATATGAATATAACGTCATTAAAATATTAAGTGTTGTTCAGATATCACCAATTTTATTTGTCTGATTGATAGCACACCCCTCAAATAACAAACCTAGCTGCAAGAATACTAGATTCTTCCCCTACTATGCTCCAGCTCAGCTTAGGCTGCTACTGCCATCTCATAAAATGTTACAGGCATTGTACTTTACCAGGTAGGGGTCATCATATAATTTGAACTTCTATACTAAATGATCTCACCATGTCTGAAATCTGTTATCTGATTTGCAGACATAAATGCAACGTATGTGGCGCATATTTAGCTGAGCTCCACACTGGCACTTGTTTAGTTGTGATTAAGAATGATTATTGCTTTCAAGTTGTGCCCTTAAATGCTCAGATGTTGCCCAATGCAAAGAAAGGTCTGGTTCCTACTCTGAATTGCTTATGTTCCAAAATACTAAGAAAGGGCAATAGCCCGAAAGTAGGTTTTCTGGAAGCAAAAGTAGACAGGAAGGCTTAGGACTAGTCACTTACGCCGATTTGAGGTTGTACTGCTGGAAGTCCCAAGGTAATGTTGGGCAGAGAAGGGGATGTGTACAGACTCAACAAGTTCACGGACTCATCCTGTATCAAAAGGCGTTGCTGTGAAACCAGATGCTGGAATAAAGGGCAAAAACAACAGAACTATAATCTCCAAGCTTTTTATCTTGGTTACTTTATCCTCGTTATCCTGCTATATTAAAAGCCAGTTATGTATCATGCATTGGTTTGCATCCCAGCACGGTTTCAGATAAGGAAAAGTACTGTCCCTGTGAAAGCACTGTTGATATTTCTTTTCCTAAGAAAACAACTGATGTATGTCTGGGATTATTCCTTGGTTAGTAAATCAAATTTCCATGGAAAACTGAAATCTTGAGGATCCCTAGACCATCTCTTCTCATCAACTTCTCATTAGCTCAACATCAGTTCTTCTCATCAACTGCACTTTCACTGCTAGAAACTCAGTGGGAATTTAGCCAGTGAATTAAAGAGTATATCCAGCTGAATCAAAGGTGTCACAAATGTGAATTTATTAGACCTTTACTTTACCGTGGTTATTATAATTTTTGTTGTAAGGTATGAAATTTCTACCTAGTCCATGTATTTTCTTACCCAGATTGTGATACGGGGATGTTTCAGGCACATTATTTACACATCTGTCACTTAAAAAAATGTACTGTCTCTGTACATGCATATATATAAAACCAGCATCCTATTATTCTCTGATGGTGGGATACCCCTCACAGCCTTCCTAATTCCCTTCAAGTTAAAATCTTTAACACTTCTTTTGAAGCCTTGTGATGTAATTTTCAAGGACATGGAATTGCTGATATATTCTTAATTACTGTCAAGTAAAACCAGACATTCTACAAAGATCACCCTCTGTCTTTCCATTCTAGATTCATTGAGAAGAAACATAAAAAATTACATTACCACAACAGGAGTCTTTTTGAAGCCTTTGCCTTTCTGCTCTAACAGTCATGTTTTTCAACATGTGGTCTAGTATAGTTGCTTGAATTACATTTTCTGTTTAACTCTTGCTTCCCTCCCAGAACTTTAACACAATAAGAGCTACAAAGGTCTTATTAGACTTAGGAACTCTGGCATGATATGGTCCCCAAGGGAACAACATCCTTGAAAAAGAATACCCTGTGTAACAGTATGACACAGTGACTGCTTTCTTCCCAAACAAAAAGCATATGGGACTCCAATAATAGACCACCTCCAAGAGGGATACTGCACACTCGGGCTTTGACTAAAGTAAATATAATAACTTGTCAAGCATGTTGTGGGGAGCTGTAGATTTTCCCCTGGACAAACCTGGAATATCAATTAACTCTGTAAAATACTTTGTGCTAATACAATGCAACTTCAGACCATCAATGAAAAGTGGTTAAGCACAAAAACACAGGATGTTATTCCAAAACATAACCTTCCTCATACAGTTTGTTTGGAGATATGACCTATTACTGAGACAATAACAGTAGAAGTCATCTCTGCAATTTTCTTTTGGTACCTAGGGAGTGTCAACAGATAGCATATGAAACAAAGAAGCTTCACTTGAATATTACATGAATTCCTGGCTAACAGTGTCTTGCCTTGATAACATCCACCTTTGACCACGTACAAAACCAAGCTTGTCAAGACTATGGAGATATTATTGAGGGAGACTACAAAGATTTAACTGAAAAAGGACACTGCAGCAGCTCTAATGTGCTTCCTAGAATATAATCAAATTTGTAGCAACTGCAGCATCTATACAGAGCCACTTCAAAAATGCCTGTTTCCTTTTTACTTTTCAGTATGCCACTATTGCCTTCTAAGATTTGAATTAACAAACCTAATGGTGACAAGGTGTATAGCAGTAAAGCTCATTCCCACATTAAGGTCAGGCACGATTGTTTCATGAGGCAGAATCAATCAAGTTATGTACCAATGGGAGTTTAATGTTGAAAACAGGAATTTATTAGAGCATTTCCATCCAATTTTTAATACTGCTAATAATCAGTAATTTTCATTTGGAGACGTAACTGATTTTTAAAAATATTTTCAGGTAATATTAGCCTAAGTGTCAGTTAAACCTCATGTCCCAAAATAAGTTTAGTAGCCCACCTGTATAGATTAGGGTCCTGCATATGCTGGGGCACAACTGCATGACCTCAGCTGCAGCTTCTCTTTTTACACAGCTGACAATACCTTGAAATGGTGGCACAAACCGGACTTGCCAGCAGTGTCATTTGGCAGCACAATGGCTAAGCCACGGTCCTCCTCCTACATGCAGACTTGATGGTTTGGACCAGCACCTAAATTACCCCAAAGAGCAACTGCCCTACTTGCTCCTCTGCGTACTTACTCACTGGGTCCATGGATCCTGCTTCCTGGTGCTTAAAATATCCTGTCAACACACTTACCCTCTTTCTTAAAATGGAGTACAATAATTAAGTGTAACAGTACATGATGATCACCAAGTAACCATGATTAGTTATTGTACTTGTTTTGGTACCAGGACCTGCTGAGAAGCAGGAACACCTATTTCACGTGTGCATGTTTATATACACGTCTACACATTAGGAGGGGAAGAGGAAACGGTTTTGCTTTAATACTTCTAAATTGTGGAGCTACAGTAAGGTTGTCATCACTTTGAATATTCACAATTACATTCTTATTTCTCAAGGCTTTTGTAGTGGGTTTTTTGCTAATGAATTAGACTCTCTTCACATACACTTGAAGCAAACATCACCAGCTGGTCAGAAACCTATACATTTTGCCACTAGCCACTTAACAAAGAGCACCTTAAGGGGCTGAGTATTAGAAACATAGTGCTGTGGGGTTGAACAAATCAAGCACGTGTTTATCTGCCATGCACATCATTTATGTCTCCTGTATAATCAGGTGATATTCTAGGAAATGCTGCTCTGCAAAGCACAAATGAAAGAGAAGAAAAATTATCCGAAGCCTGCTTATATCAATTGGAAACTTTCCATTGTGTTTAATGGCTTTTGACCAGGCTGTGAATGCCTAATATTAATCATTTCACATGACTAAGGCAGGTTGTCCCTCTGAACTCAAGGGACGTGCTGTGCAGGGGCTCAATCCTGCTTGCATTTCTCATGCAAGTAAGATTTAGCCCCAGCACAGCAGGTGACCTAAAAGTGTACGGCATGCTACAAGAGACAAATAGCTACTGCGGTGAACCTTGATGATACTGGAGACAACTGGGCCTAATAAAAACAGCATTTTATTTATAAGGTGCAATTAAAATCTTGAGTTTAACTTTCAAGTTTCATATAATGAGACCAGTGTTTTAACAAATGGTACTGAAAGTACCATTAAGGGAACTGTGATAGTAAAAGATTATCTGCAAAAATGTAGCATTTGCAGTGCACCCTTGTTCATTCAAAAAAATGTAAATGTCTACCCACCAGACTGTCTGCTCCGGAGGGTAAACCACTTTAAAGTCTCGCTATTCAAATGGATACGGCAAAAATAAAAATCTGTTTCATTACTGATAATGCCCTAACTCTGTCTATGCACTAGAGTGTAATCATTTATGGTACTGACTCATGTTTTACTGGTAAATGGCTCTCTGTCATAGCAACCTGTTTTCCCCAAGCAAAAAGTGTTTTATTTGCTGCCATGAAAACTGCGGCTATCCACCCACTCAGATATGAGCACAACACTTACTGCAAATGTCACAACAGCGATTATGAAACAACAGCAATGTGAGTCATGCGGGATTACAGCAAAACAAGTGATATTTTGGGTGATTTTGGAACACTTATCCTATTATTAGAAACTTCTGTACTTTGTGTATCTGATGAAAAATTGGTTAGATATATAGCCTTTGAGAGCTGGCAGCTAATGCTAAACTAGAAAAGACATACGTAGCAGTTTGGCTGCTGATAAACTTCCGAAGAAAACCCCACTGAAATCAAAATGCACTGAAGCTGAGATTTATGGAAAAATGTTTGAGCCCACAGGCCCACAGTATTAACAGTCAAGTAACCAGAGAGGTAAAGAAATCCCTGACAGGATCCACAAATGGAAGTCAGTAGTTTCAGCTTCTTAGCACACTTCCAGTGAGCTACGTGACCGACTCCAGCACGCAGAGGCCAACTTCTAAAGGAACTTCTTAGGCTCATTTGAACATCTGTGATTGTACAGTGGGGCTATAACTTCTCTGGCACAGTAATGGCAAATGATGTGCAATGTGGTGTTCTATTAATAAACAGAGATTGCCAGCCTGACCAGATTGTATGTGTGCCTGGTGGTGGTTCACACTGTGGGTGAGTGTCCAGAAACTGTAACATGCAAAGTAACAAGGACCGTATATCAGTCCGAGACATTATTCCCTTTGCATTTTGTAGTATCCTCAAGTCAATACAAGATCCAACTGGACAAGCTTTCCTGTTTAATACAGGACAACCAACCACATGTTACAAACTTCTATTTAAAACATTCCCAATATTAAAATATACCACTTAATTCCACTGAACTAGGATCTGATCTAATCCAAATGATGGATCTTACTCTGCATCATTTAAATTTCTTTGCAATCACATACAGAGGGGCTATGAGGCAAGACCACATGTTAGCCATCAATGCAATTTTTTTTTCTTTTTGGTTACGGGCCAGAGAGAGGCTACTAATCAGTGTGCAGAGGTCACCCACCTGCCCCCTGGATCATAGTTCACACACACAATTAATTCATTATGGGGAAAAGTCACTGCTGGAGGTTGAACTGCCCATTCCAGGTTTTTTTGAGGTGAATGTCCTGCCACTGACCTGGAGAAATAGCTCCATTAGCTAAAACTGTGTTGAATCACATTTTCTTATGCAATTTTTCTAACATAAACAGTATAAACCAACAATTAATAGAAAACTTTGCCACCAAAGCAGGAATTTCTGTAAGTATAGGCACTGGAAACAGAATATTGTGGAATTTGATTCTCTCTTAGTTGCATTACTTTATAGTCCCTTTACAATACTGCCACGGAAAGCATGACTTAGGCATCTCATCTATGCTAAATGAGGTTTATCACAACTGATTTACCATCTGCATTCCTGTTGTTATAGGCACGTATGTATGAAACAGAATAAGGAGTAGTTACGATTCCTTCTGTGTACAATCTTGCTTTACAGAACAAGTTTCCGAGACTCCTGGCATGTCAGTTATGTTGGTAAGTACTGCCCTGATAAGGAAACTGAGGTACAGCAAAATAAAAGGCAGATGTGAAAAAGGATTTAGTCACCTAACTCCAATACTGTAATTAACCAAATCTACTTCAGCAGCCATCTGAACCTGGGACCACCTTAACACTTCCAGTAGCAATACTCCTGCTTTTGTTGGACTTTTGTTACCAAAGAGTCTCCTGAACATGCATCTCGTATATGCTGGCCTCCTGAACACACATCTCAGATATGAAGATGCATCTCATATATAACATACTCTGATGGCAGCCTCCAGTGTCCTAGTATCCCTGATAATTATTATCTTCTGCAATTACTCTGCTTGTGAGTATGATCAAATTGAGGTTTCAAATCTCTCCAGTCTAGAAACCTGAGGAATTGTCTACCCAATAAAGAGAAAGAGTCTTACCTCAGCTTGAATGTTAGATGGCAAAACTGAGGTTTCATTTTCTGTTACACTGCTGGTTGGACCATTGCTTGGGGAACTGGGACCTGATCCAGGGGAGCTGCTACTGACTGAGGATTCTGAAAAACACATTAAGCTTACATGAATTTCACACTGGAAAGGAACACATGATCTTGATTAATTGTATACTCTTTACGGCAAGGGTTTTTTTTGCTGTTGAAAAGTATCTATCAGTTATGTTAAAGATTTTTAATTCATTCTCCATTTCTTTTGGTTTTCCTTTTACAGTGCTAACAAGGAAAGATAACTCTTGGTCTTTCCCCTTCTGATCTGTATGCTTCACAAAGGAAGAATTTACTATTTATTTTTCCCACAAAGATAGTATGATACTCACTATCAGGCAGAGATACAGGCATAGAACTTGTAATGAGTAAAAAGGAAAGAAAAGGCTTTTCTTTTTAATTGCAAAGAGTTCTGCCTCTGTAAGAGATCAAAATGACAGAGATAGCAGGCTTGCAAAGGTCACGATAACATGTCGTCAATTCATGAGGCCTACTGCCATCTCCCTTCTGTTTAGAAAGAGGATGAGCAGACTAATCATTACATACGCAAGTAATAATGGCAAAATATACACCACTTTCACTACATCTTTGGCACAAATATGAAGGAATATTTACAGCATACAAAAATCTTAAAATAGCATTCGAAAGGCTGTATGTTATCTTGATTTAAAATCTCCCCAATTCTGTCTAAGATAAAGGGGAAGAGGATGATCTCGTTGTCTGTTGTTGTATTGGGTTATTCTAATCCTACACTGATATAAATTAAATTTATGTAAAGGAAAAAGTAACAAGGTTAAAGACAGAAGAGCGCAGCATTAGTAGAGGTAAGCCTGTTTCATGAGATAGCTTTCAAATTGAAGTACTCAAGAAGTTAAAATAACTAATATCTAAATGTGGCAGTAAATATTCTATAGCCACTTCTTTGCTTCTTCACTCCTTCCGTCTCAGTTCACATGCAAGATGATATCCTTGCTTTGACTGAAATTACCGGGAGACTTCCTAGCTCTTTCTTGGACCTGTTGCTCTTTCCTACTAGAGCTGACTTCGATTTACTGAAGTAAATCCACACCTAGCTATGCTAACTGGTCAGGTAAAGTTCTTGCATCATATTCTCACTAGTTTTCATAGAAGAGCAGAAACACAACCTTATTCTTTTTTCTCAGTTTTTTAAAAATTACAATAGCACTTTCTGTATAAATAGGTATTTAAATAAAGGGCTACTTTCAGTTAAAAGAACAAAAAAAAAGAGAAAAAGGCTTCAGCCAGAAATGTTTCATCAGGGAAGTTTTGGTTATGAAAGGTACAAAATATCATAAAGCTCATTATAATGGCAATCTGTAAGGCTCTGAATTATTGTCAGAGCTAGGAAGAGAACACATTTATTTTCAGGTTTCTGGTCTTTCAATGGCTGCAAAAAAAAAAAATCCTGGGATAAGTATTTCACTCTATACCTTACTTGTGAGGGTACAAAATAGAAAGAAATCAGCTAAAACTAAGGAAGTGGAGATCAAGGATATCCTAAGAGCTTCAGCAAATGGAAATAATAAATTAGCTGTAAAAAATTCTAATCTGGAAATCATTTACACGGGAATTACCTTATTTAGTTACTTTCATACTTAGATTCACATCCATGTCCTAGTTTTACACATGACAGACTGTGAAAAGTTGTCACGAGAATTGCATGACATGAATTTGTTCATGTTGTGTTATATTTCCATCTTGGTGTGACATAATTCTGACATACCAAGTGAACTCAGATACATATCTGACAGACTAGTAACGGTTGCATAAATGTATGGCCTGATTGTAACATCACTTGAACAAGCCGTGAAGCTACCAAATATTGATGCAAAGTCAAAGCATGAAATGTCAGAATGAGGCCTAATACTGTAAATGCTCTTTTCTTTCAAATCAACGGATAAGACCTTGGCAGCATACTAATCCTAAGGATTAAAAATGAGAGGACTTTAGGCTGTTTGGAAACTTGGGTGCAATTCTGCAAAATAATACATGTGACAAAATTTGGTTACCACTGTGCAATACCAAACATGTGAAAGAAAGCCTTAGCATATGATTCTATGATTCTATGGTTCATCCACCCTGTCACTTTTTAAGTTCAAGGGCACGAAAAATATTGAAAACAAATACTACTTGATGACAACTTTTTACTGTGCTTTTTTTCCACTTTTAGCCCCCCCTTATATGCATAATTTTGCATTTTTACATGCTAAAATTTCCCTTTCCAATCCTAAGAATATTTAATATCTGCTATGACCATCAATACGCCACTGAATACTTAAATGTTTCAACTCTTTCTTCTCAAAAAACAGCTTAGTGAGCCCCTACATGAAAATGAACTAATTTTGACATTTCCAACAAGAGAAACCAAAGGGATAGGGCCAAACACAAGATTCCAAAATGTCCTTGATTAACCTAAGTACTATCCGATAGGTGTTTTTGCACTTTGTACTAGCATCTGCATTTTCCATGGGAGATGGGAAGTGGAAGATGCAAGACCCAAAATGTTGTCCACGTACAGAAGACACAAATTAAGGGAAGAGACTATTCTTGTTTTCTCCTTTGATGTCTCTTGCCACCAACAGTCTACCATTTATTTGTTCTTGTACTTGCTGTTGTAAAGTACTGGTTTCCAAGCTGGTTTGAAAGTACGGCTTTCAAATGTACAATGTCTTTTTAGTAAGCGGTAGAAAGCTGTAGATTACAAGTTATTTATACGCAACCATTTATTTAATATGGTTTTCAGCAGCAGAAAAAAAAAAAAGATACAGCCTTTTGTTTAGAAAACAGTTTCAATTCCAAAATACCACCACTATACTGTGAGCAGTTGCAGCTGATAGAGAATTTCTCCATTCTTAATTACCTCTCATCTCGAAGAGTCGCTTCTTGAATGAACTGACAACATTTCCATCCTTCCTCCTGAGTAAAGGACTGCTTCTCCGTTCTGTCACCTTTTGTTTTAACCTTGAACGTACCTTCAAATTGGGCTCTGAAGCTGGAAACAAAGAGAAGAAAATAAATGATTACAAATCAAATTACTGCTTTGTGTCAGACACCACTGACATTCCCTGTAGGGCCTCATCTGATCCAAGGACGGCTTGGAGGCAGAGATTTTACTGCCCATCCTCCCTAGCCATCCTGCTGCTCCTCATACAACTCCATTTTAGATTGGAGGCTAGGAAAGAGAGGAAGAGAGCTGAAAAGCTCAACTCTGAAGTTACCCATTAATTATTGCTAATATCATAAGTATTAATTAGACATGAATGCAACTTTTAGTCTACATCATTTTTATCTCTCTTGTAGGTGAAAACTTGGATGGAAATACAGCTTGGAACTTGGAACCTTATAATTGGATTATGGTCTGATGACAGAAATAGAGAGAAGCCTCCACTTGTGCCTTTTGATTTCTCTTAGAAATATAAATTACGACAAGCCTTGCTGGCAGAACATTTCTTGGTCAGCAATTTTAGGCCCAGAACTTCAATGTTTTCTGAGTAACACCAAACAACTAGATTTATGACAGTGTCCTAAGAACATTACACAAAAAAATATATGCTCTGAAAACGAAGAATTAGGACTGATTCCCAGAAAACCTAGGATTATATTTAATGCACCTTGGGCAAGTTCCACCTTTGTTTCCTAAATGGACACGGTCTTTTCATATGAAGGCCAGAGATGAAGCTCTGCTGTGCTTTTTATTTTGTGATATTTTTAGCATGATAAAATGTTTCATGTACTCATGCATCTGTTCTTCTAAGTAAACCCTCTACCAAACAGACTGCTAAGAGCTAGTGAAAGATAATTGTGGAATAGAATTTGTTTATACTTCCCTTTCTGGAACTGAGGCTTGGCTAAGCAGTATCTCAAAATAGAGAGAGCTGGAAACTGGGATCAGTTCTCTCTCCTATGCACAGACCTAAGCCCAGCCCCAAAGAAGGAGCAAGAGTTAGCAGAAAACCAAAATAAATTACATCTTCATTCAACTCAGCATTATACTATTTGTCACTTTGGGGCAGGAACTCAATCTTACACTTCTAATTCCAGCCCCTGCCCAGGATTGCCCTGTAATGTTGCACATCTGTTTCCTGCTGTCCCACTTGTTCCCTCGGGGATGGGGACGTTAGGAATGCTCATGTGAGAGCAAAGGGGCTGCACCTCCGTCAGAGTGCTGCTGTAACCTGCAGTTGTGCGCTGGCCTTTATCACTTACTACATCACTCTTGGGAAGTGCTCCCTTCTAAGTGGCCTGTGCCTTCAGTGCATTTCAGACCAAGATACACAGGCTAGCACAACACTGGAAATCTTTAATAACAAAAATATAAACAAGAAATTTATTTTTTGTCACTTACTACCACTGTTAAGACCAATGGTTCTAGCGATGGAGTACCGATGACTTGTTCACTGTCTAAGATACTATTTGCTATGAAACTGAAAATATAAAATATAACAATGGGCTAAGATTACACTACATGCTTTCTCCACAGATGTCACCCAGGTACAATGACGTTTGGAAGAAAAGGTGCTTGCTCCTTTTGCACTTATAGTTATTTTGATTTATACTATTCCGTACTCTTAAAATTTAGGAGAATATTTCCATACCCTTGACAGACTAATGTGACACAAATCCTCTGCAACACTCACTGGAGAAATGCTCCACTTCTATATGAATGTTTCATGCTCAGTCACAGCGATTGCCTTTCTATTTTTACCACATTCCCATCACATCTGCATCTGAATCAATCATACAAGCACAGAAAGCAGACTTTGATGTCAACGTCTGAATTTATGAGCTATCTGAGAAGAGAGTCCTTGCATGAAAGATGAAGATAATTTTAAAATGGAAATAATCAATTTTAAAATGAAAAGGCATGGAGAAGAGTGCTTTTTAAATTACAAAATAAACCTCCCAATAAAAAACAAAGCCAAGGTTTGAAGAGTTTCAAATACTGACTTTCTTGAAAGTCTCCCATGAGACACTGCCAGCTCCCTAACATGGTACCAGTTAGGACTCGATGGCTGGCACTAAGAATTCAGGTTTTAGTGCACTAAATATATAAATTTAACCAATTTGAGGATGTCTGCTCCAATGGACAAAATGCAGAACTGGGAAGTGGTTTCCTGATACATGTCTGTGGCTGAGCCATTGACTTGGTGTGTGACTGTAGAGGTCGCTGTACCATCCTGCCCCACCGAAGTTGAAGCAGAATTATGGTTGACTGCAACAGGTATGGATCACAACAGCAATCCTATGTACTTCACTGCAGTCCTACATGAAGGCAGTAATAACACATCTGTAATTGTCAACTCTCTTCTGGTAGTTAAAAAGGCAAAATTAAGTATTTTAAGCTTCAAGGATAGAGCTGTGGATTAAAATTATAAATGCATATACATATGCATACACACAGCCCGCCCCAAAGCATATATGTGAGATTATTTAGAAAGAATTTTAATCCTTTAAACTCTGAAATGCAAACAAGTGAGCAAAAAATGAAAATAAATTTTTCAAACTTTTGGTTTTTTTAAGTTAAATTGTTCCCCTAGTATTTGCAAGGCATTTGGAAAGCCTTAGTGGCAAATAGTGATGAATTATTGTAATTAATCTGCCTTATGTTTCAAATGAGCATTTGGATCAATACTTTAACTAGTGGTTCTTAGAAGTGGTCTATAGAGGGATAATGCTCAAAATAACTGTTTGGCATTAACCAGTCCTCTAAGTATTTCTGCCGCACATTATTATCACCTTTGCTCATCTTAACTAATCCACTGCCAAGGTTGACTATGTTCATCACCCAAAGGCATTCTCCATGTGAAACAAAGTGTCACATAGGGAGCCAGTGCCAAATAACTGCTGAGGCTAAAGCTTTACTCACCAGCTTGCTGCAGAGTAGCCTCCTCATGCAGATACAAGCCCCCAAGAATTAACCTTTTTTTGCTCCATTAATACCACAAAATCAGTTAAAAGACCTTCACGGAGTCTATTACTTTATGCAGTGTTCCAGCCATAAACCAAGACTCTGACTCAGCAAGATAATTAATGCACATGGCTAACTTTCTGTACACCAAGCATCCCACTGTGGTCCAGGACTCAAAACTAGATTAATTCTACCCCATACAGGATACGTCCTGTATCTCACCTTCCTGAGGAAATAGGGCTTCTCCAAAGCCCTGGAGATGCTGAATGAGGTGGGGTTTGCTGGGTTAGATGCCTGCAACTATAGTGGGCTGAATCATCTGACCAAAGAGCCAGAATGGCAGAGACAAGAGAAAAACAAGAGCACGTGGCCAGGAGTGTGGCAGACGAGGGCTGCATGTTTTCATGGCAGCAGGCTCGTAGGTTGGGCTGTTCATCTAAACTCCTGCTAAGAACCAGTACACATCTGATATTGGTCTAACTGGTTGCTATTAGCCTAGCCTCTTTGCTCCACAAATATTTGCACTTCTATTACATTTAGCACTTTGGAACAAGTAATAATCAGTCCCCACTTGGAGAAAGGGAAAATATACTCTTTGAGAGTGTTTTGTTGCAAAGAAAACAAAAGACACAGCTATTTTCCTGAAGGCCATCAAAGCCCATGTCATTGATCTCGATGGGAATCACTCGACACCCACTTGAGCGACTCACTTGAGTAGATTTCAGGAAAGACTAGCCTGAAAATGACTTTGTTTATGTAACTGCAGCATAATTCAGAATAATGAGATGTTGCAGTAATAGGGCTTGTTCAGTCTCATCGCTATTACCTGGCTTATTCTCTTTTTAGTGCTGGTAATAATGAACTGGTATTACTCTTTAAACAACTGTAAGCAGGAAACAGGTTTGAAAGATACAGGAAGTATTAGTTTAAATAACAAGACATTGCAGGCAACCCAAGGATTGGTTACCTAACTGCTTGGCATGACTTGTAATTATCTCTACAGAACTGAGAACTTTGGTCCTAGGTGAAGAAGAAAGACAGCATCTCAATGACTCTTCTCATCTTTTATGGTGGCTTCATATAGCAGGAAAAAAGTAAGTAACTACTGCTAAAACCAGAAAATATACAGGCTTGTATATCGGTACACATTAATTTCATCATAATAACCATCACTGCTCAGGTTAGAATCTCAGAATAGAAAACTATTCTCTCCTGCATAACATGACACTGAAACACAAGCATGACAGATAGGAAAATGATTCAGTGAAGTCATTATGTCCTATACTCCATTTTGCTTAATATTAGCAATTTGCAGACACTAGCATTAAAGAATATAACCTGGGGCCAGATTGCTCCCAAATGAGCTGGGTTTTTTTTGACAGGGCTTTGCTTCACTGTTTCTTTTTATTAAACACACAGAGATATTTAAGAAGAAGGGATAAAAATCCTTTCTATGCATGGGGAGAGGACATATATATGAAGGGAATGTAAAAGATAATAATGCAGTACTTTCTGATGGTTCCTGGAACACAGTACTACTTTTGTATCAGAAGAGCGTGTGCCAACTTCAAATCAGCATTTAATGAACCCAGGCAGGAAATGGGGGATGGGAGAGGGTGCATAGCGAGCAGGTCCTCATCTCGAGGCTAAAGCCATATATAGGAAACCTGAAGAACAGAAAGTGAGCTTTTGTCCAGACTTCGAAAGGCTCTGAAGTGAAAGCATTTCCTTTTCCTCGCTGGCAGGCTTGCTTAGAAAAGCTGTGGGGCAGTCGAGGTAAATGATGCTAAATTTGGCTACTAAGATTCCAACAACAGCATGAGCAACAGCAGCAAAATTCACATCTTACTTGAGAATAATACATTGCTCCCTATTGCCCAGGCACCATTATCACTAAGATCGTTTTGAAACAATAACTTGGACTTCTCTAACATATTTAAGTCAACAGAAACAATTAAGAAACAAAGACTTCATGATCTTGAAGTAAATCTTCACTGGCATTTGCTATTTCTTTAGCTGTCGTATTTTTAAGCTGTGAAGTGTCATATATTATACTGATTTGAATATATTCTATGCTGTACTCC